AACTTAAAAAAAAAAAAAGAGTATAAATTTTGAAAGCAGATAGCACCTACTGGCTTTGAGCAAGTCATTTCACCTCTCTGTGCCTCAGTTTCCTCATCCATCATGCCCAGTGCCCTATCGGGCCGTATACAGATTAAGTAAAATAATGCATGTAGACCACCCAGCAAGGGCTGGTCTGCAGTCTATAATCAGATAGTAAAGGACAGGGTGTAAAGAACACAGACTGGAGAAGGAGACAGCCGGGGTTTGAATTGTATCTGTGCCACCTACAAGCTGTGCTCCCGGGCCGCTGCGTCACCTCTCTGAGCACCTGTTTCCCCATCTGTAAAGTGGGAGCTGGTAACAAGAGTGTGTAGGTCAGCCATAAGGCTGAGGGCATTATGGGAGTTAAGACTGGCGATGCCCTCAGATCAGTGGCTAATGCTCTAGAATGTTAGTGGCGGCTCTCATCATTTTCGTTCGGGAGGCCCTCCCTTCTCGGTAAATGTCCGTTCTCGTTCTCCTCATCTGTCGTAGGGTGGTTCTTCGGGCAAAGGCACGACCCTCAGAGGCCGATCCGACGCCGACCTCGTGGTCTTTCTGAGTAACCTCACAAGTTTTCAGGAGCAGCTTGACCACCGGGGAACGTTCATCCGGGAAATTAAGAGGCAGCTGGAAGCCTGTCAAGAAGAGGAAACGTTTGCAGTGCAGTTTGAAGTACAGAGTCTGCATTGGGAGAGGCCCCGGGCCCTGAGCTTTGTGCTCAGGTCCCCCCAGCTCCAGGAGGGGGTGGAGTTTGACGTCCTGCCTGCCTTTGACGTCCTGGGTGAGTGCTCACAGACGCAAGGGCTTTCCCCTCTGTCCCGCCACAGGGCTGCTTTCTTTTTTCATATTTCAGAGCAGAACTTTCCCACAGTCGGAGAGTCTTACCGAGACGGGGCATCCCTTCGAAGGGGGTGGGTCGAGATCTTAGAACGGATCAGGTCACGACCGGCCACAGGAGCGACGTTAAGTGGCAAATTGGCGCAATTTGGGGGCAAGACATCCCTTGCGGAACACCTTCTGGGCTGGCCGGCTCTACTTGTGGTAAAGCGTGTAAATTTTAGCTTTCTGCAAGGGAGGCAGTGTAGATCCAGCCTGCGGTCCGTACGTGAATTTCATCTATTGCCCCAAACAGGAGGAAACCCTGCCAGACTTGTGCTGAGGGCTGGAGTCTATATCGACGACCCACAGCCGCATTTGGACAGGAAGCAGAACCTCTCAGGGGCTCAGTTTCCGCATTCGGAAAGCTGGCAAAACCATGCCACCTATGTCCTACTCTTAAGTATTGAGCGAGCATCCGCATTCAGCTGTCCCACGGGGCCTGGCGCATAGTAGGTGTTCAAGAGTGTGAGTTCCCCAACAGTAGGCCGAGGCACCCCAGGACGCCCCAGTGAAAACACTCACGGGGAGCACACAGAGTAGGTTAGATTTTAAGTTTTTGAGGGACACACAATGCCGTCTGGGGGACACCGCACGAACCACTGCTGTTCAGTTGTAGACTGAACCCCGTGCATGGAACTCCTCTTGGGCGGAGGGGACCCTTGAGAAAAATACCGAAACTCTAAAGGCACCGGGAAATGAGAAAGTTTGGGAATCTCTCCTTGTTGCCATGTCCGGCGTTGGGCGCTGGCGTACGATGGTTACCAAAGAGATAAGAGGGGGAGAGAGAAGGGGAGGAAGGACATGCCCGGCAGAGGGAACAGCACAAGCAAAGGACTGGAGATGAGAAAAGGGGAGGATGTGTGGGGGGAACTGCTAGACACTGAAGAGAGTGGGGGGAGGGAGGGAAGGGGGCAGGGAGGGAGTGGGGAGGGCGTGGAGGGCAGGGAAGGAGGGGGAGGGCAGGGAGGGAGTAGGGAGGGTGTGGAGGGCAGGGAAGGAGGGGGGAGGATGGGGGGCAGGGAGGGAGTGGGGAGGGTAGAGGGGGCAGGGGGGGAGTGGAGAGGGCAGGGAAGGAGTGAGTGGGAACTGAGCCAGGAGAGCTGACCCTGCAGAAACCTGCCTCCTTGGTCAAGGGTTTCTTCTGAACACAACAGAACAGCTGTGGGAGGGTTTCAAGTAGGGGAGTAACCTGGTCAGATTTGTGTTTTAGAAACCTAGTCCAACGGTAGCGTGGAGAATAGATGGGAAGAGAGGCACGACCGGAGTTTGGGAGACATTCAGTCAACAAGGATAAACACAGATCATCCATTGAGTGCCTACTGTGTACCAGGCACTGCTCCCTGGCCACGAATGAGCCAGACAAGGAACCTCTATCCTGGAGCCTGACATTAAGTATAGAAGCAAGATAAATGGAATGATGCCTGCAGAGCGATACGATGGAGAGCGACCGGGAGGTGGCAGGGGGAGGGCTTTTTCAGACAGTGTGATGAGGGAGGGTTTCTGAGGAGGTGACGTCGGAGCTGAGGGATGAGAAGGAGCCAACCATGGGAAGATCCAGGAAGAAGAAACAGCAAGTGCAAAGGTCCCGAGACAGGAGTGAGCTTGGCATGTTTGAGGAAGAGAAAAAAGGCCCCAGGTATGAGCGGCAGGGGAGCAAGGTAGGAGGTGAGACCCCACAAATTTCCTAGGCCACGGTGGAGATACTGGGTTTTATTCTATGTGGGAAGCAGGAAGCGGTGTGAGCTGGTTTTGAAAGTCCTCTCTGGGTCGCGAGTGGGCTGTGGAGGAACCAGTGACGAGGCTCACCTCGGGGTGAGGTGGGTTGGCAGAAGAGATGGGAGAAGGGAAGGCTGGGGATGGGCCTCGGGCCCCCTGGGTCAGCCCGTCGCCCTTTCCGCTGCGCCCCACGGCCAGTGAGCCCCAGAGTGGCCGGACGAACATCAGAGATGCTAACATCTTAGAGGTACGTATGGATTTGTCCCTAACAGGGCAGTGGACCAATACCTACAGACCTGACCCCAGAGTCTACATCAAGCTAATCCAAGAGTGCCAGGACCTGGACCTAGAGGGAGAGTTCTCCACCTGCTTCACAGAGCTGCAGCGAGACTTCCTGAGGCAGCGTCCGACCAAGGTGAAGAGCCTCATCCGCCTAGTGAAGCACTGGTACCAACTGGTAAGTTCCTTCTGCCTGGGGAGCTGAGGAGGAGGAGGAGGGAGAGAAGGAAGGGGGGCATGGAATAGAGGGAGGGGTGGAGGAGAGAGAGGTGTGGGGAGGGGAGAA